GTTTTATAAGAAATGTTTTAGCTACTTTGAGATCTTAAGGACAACTTTTTAAACTTTGAGGTAATGCACAAAAAGAATCAAAATCCCTTAAACATTTTGAGTGCTGTGACTAATTAACAGAATATTAATCAGAGTATTCACATGCAGGGGTCTGGAAAAAGAGTCTCTCTATTCCATCAAGGTAAGACACAGCAACCAGAGGAGAGGATGTTGTATACATCAGGTTTGAACAGCGCTCCAAATTTTAAAGAGGAACGATCACATCTATTAGAATGAGCATTTCATCTCTCCTAGCCTCATGTTTACCGCAGAACCTATGTGTTGAAGAAACTACAGTGTCACTTCACAAAGCATGACTCCTAGCGTGGCCAAGAAGTTCTAGCTTTTGCACAGCCACCTGCTCCTATCAATGGAAGAGCAAATTTCAGTGTGCAGAAACCAAAATCTCTCCACTGGCTATGCTCTCGCACAGGCATGTTTTGAAACCCATGGGACTATTGCTCTCTGATGCTTTGCCAGGGCAAACGATCGCGCTGTTTTCCATCTGCTACCTTACACTATGGGAGTCAAACACACGCACCTACAAACCAGAGCAAAGCACACAGGTCTCAGTTTGGCACAGGCATAATGTTTTTCATCTTCAAATCCTCTGAAGAGACGAGGAAATCACATTAATCTTCACAGCACCCTTGTGAGATAAATACAAAATGATTGCTTACCCTGTAGTGTACTTTATCTGAAGATTTTATCTCACAGGACTCTGAACACAGCTTTTGTGCCTTAGCCCAAGACTAGCAAAACTTCCTGAATTCATTAATTAACAAGAAATAGTCACACTGTAGTCACACTAGTTATTCTTTCTGATGATGTCAAAACCAGCCATAAGGTAATCCCTGATGTTTGTTTCGAAAGTGAATTGTGATGGCTGAGTACATTAAGCTAAAAGCAAAGTGGAAGTGAAGGGGATCGAAATGGGTCCAGTTGTGGTATGTCACAACATACTCCTGTCTGGAACCTCTGTTCCTTGTGATGTTCTGCTTGCATCAAAATACCACATTGATGAACTTACTCATTAGCAGAAGTGAAGCTGACTGACCTGTGTCTTGGTGAGTGAGCAGCACGCTGCTGTGATGTCAATGATCACTGAAGCAGTCAGAGTCTTGGCTTGAATGAATCACCTTGTACAGATAACTAAAACAGAGTTAAGGACCATGATCTTCCGGAAAGATGCACACAGGTCCTCTGATGAGACTTTTTGCCTGGCAAAAAGAGTAACTATCAAGCTGGGCTCTATACTGGCACTATGTCATCATTATGTTATGAGGCTCATTATTAGGTGCCTCAGAGAGGGTTCTGTGATGATGGGATCCTCTCTAAGGCTCAACAGCTGATTGGAAGACACAGGATGCACTTGACTACATGAGGCAAAAGTATCTTTGCCAATAGGCTGGCCAACTTCATAAGGAGAACTTAAACTAGAAATGATGCAGGAGAGAACAAGGAGGTTTGGGACAGGCTAGGCAAGCCAAGAGCCTGGGATGATGGGAAGGGAAGGGACATAGCAACTCACAAAACAACTGAGCTGAAGCGTAATCCGTTTGAGCACAGACATGTAAAAAAGGACGTGCCTGCAGAACAGCCTTGTGGGGAAAGCTCTCAAGACTGTACTGTGGAACTGGCACACCTGGATGCCCCTCAGAGGCCTCTACTCTAACACATGCAGCATGGGGAAGAGTTCAAAGTCTGTGTGCAGTCTGTGTGCAGGGCTACCATCTCACTGGAATCATGCAGAAATGGTGGGATAGCTCACAGAACTGGAGCGTTGCAATGGAGGGATACAGGCACTTTAGGAAGGACAGCTGGGAAGGTGAGGAAGGGGTGTTGCCATTTACGTGAATGCATGCAGCCCTGCCTTGGGACAGGTCAGGAGTCAGTTGAGAGCTTTTGGGTCAAGATTTAGCAGGCAGACCAACATGGATGCTCTTGGGTATCTGCTATATATCTCCTGATCAGGAAGAAGTAGTAGACGAGGCCTTCTTCACACAAGAAGCTTCATATTCACAGGCCATGATCTTCATGAGGGACTTTAGTCACCCCAATACCTGCAGGTATGTGAACACAAAAAAAACCCAATGCTTTTTTACTGTGAGTGGTCAAACACTGGAACAGTTTGCCCAGGAAGGCTGTGGAGTCTCCATCCTTGCAGATGTTCAAAATCTGACTGGACGCAGTCCTGGACAACCTGCTCTAGGTGGCTCTGCTTGAGCAGGGGGATTGGACTAGTTGATCTCAACAGCTGCCTTCCCACCTCATCCATTCTGTGATCCTGTGATGTTTAGCTCCATTTAATTTCATTCCTCATACATTTAAAACACAAATATAAGCCCTTGCTAGTGAACATATGCATTGTAGCTTTATTCTTGCAAACCCATTATCTCCAACTGAGTGGTCTCACTGAGATTGAATTAAGCAAAGCATATTTAGGACCGTGTCCTAGCACAGGCACCATCTCTGGTGAATTTCAATATCAAAATCAAGTCTTCATTATTCCTATCCTCTTGAAACACTTCACTCCTCCATCACTTATCCAAAAAATTACCCTACACCTGACACCACATGACATTATAAAACTACCTTAAACCGCAGCATTTAATTGTGAATGTTTCATAAGAGGAGCCAGGAAAGCACTGACAGCTCACAGGCTGTGATAACACTAGTGTTGAAACATCTACTGCAGGAAAAGAGATTTCAGTAGCACAGTTTCTCATTTCCTGCTTTTGTTGGTTGTCAGAAGGCGATACACATGGAACAATCTTTGGATTATGTCAGAGATGTGTTTCACTGCACACACATCTTTGAGAGAGAAAACACTGCAGAGCACTGCACATTAAGGTAGCTTTAAGTAACACCAGTTTTACAAAAACACATTCTGAGTTAACTGCTTGCTGATAGAAATTGCCCGGTTACATACAAAACATGAAAATTCTGTGTTGCAAAAGACGGAGAGAAGGCACAGTGTGAAAAACAAGATATTTTAAAAAGTCACAAAGCCTAATTTATAATAAAGGTGAAAAATGAAGAGATGAAGGAGAAGAAAGTAGAAATTCCAACCCACCTATTACATTTAAGGTTCTAGATTGCAATTTCAACAATAATTTCTCAGTTGCAGTAAAGAAACGTAACAGATAGGTAGCAAATTTTTCAGCATATCCTGTTTTCATGCCATTTCTGAGCATGAGAACAGCATGCATTTTCGTGTCACACAAATTCATTATAGGATTAGGGTCTCTGTTTTCATAAAGTGATTGAGGTCACAAACTTCTCCCAGCAGGCAACTAGGCTTCTGGGCAAAAAGGGGATGGAAAAAGTCCAAAAGAGCACAGAGAACCTCTCTCTCTCTTAGATGAGAAAATGCTAAGAAATCTATGTACAGTCATAATGGAAAAATATTCATAACTTTATTAGTCTTTGATGCATTTCTCAAAGCAAACCTCTACCCTTCTTCAGAAAGGTTGCCCTAACTACTCCAGATTATCCACCTTGTATGCTACTGACGCACTTCTCAGGAGAAAGAAAACACAAGAAGTGCACTAACAGCCTATTACTGTACAACCTAAGGTACATATTGTCCTTGGGAGAGACCTATAAATGACCCCATCTGAGAATAAGATTTTCTTTCTTTCACTGTTACCTAGCATGAATACATAACTTCCTCAGAAAAAATGACTCCTGGCTAGATTATTAAATGGCTTCCCAGGCACTTACCATGGTAAGATTTGCCAAAACTTAATATAATTGCAGCTTCCGAATTTAGACTAAATTTTGCTAGTATCTTAGAAACAAGTATCAGATTTATTTGTTTTGAAAGATGGAAGAGGAATTAGAACAACATCCGTGGGATGGCAAATCTCCCTTCCTATTATCTCTGTAATGACCCATATACTGCATTGGGTTTTTTCCTTTTAATTGTATAATCTTCAGCTCCAATTTTAGTAGTCAGAATGTACAAACCTGTATCTGGTCATAAACTTTTATTTGAACTCTGTTGATATAACAATTTCAAATAAATTATGCTAAACAATGAGGAAGTGAAATGATTCTACACTGAGCCACTGACTTCTTGACAGCCATTTGTTTAAGTGCCTGGAGGAGTACTTATATTGTCTCTGAAAGTTTAGTTTAAGACAACCAAAACCCTAAGCCCCCCAAATTTTAAGAAAATAGCAAGAACTTTGTGCAGACTCCCAGGGAACGGATGATGAGTAAAACTTCTGACCCATTACAAAAATGCAATAACCATGTTTTAAACATGGTTAAAAGACTTTCAGGACTAGCAATTATCAGGACAACAATTTTTGTTATTCTGGGTTCTCATCTCCCTGCTCACACATTGTGTTTTGGGTGTCATTTTTCTCTAGAAATTAAGATAATTTTAAGATGTAACAACCAACACTCCATAACAGGGACATACTATGTGGATCTCCTGGGGAAAAAAAAAAAGTCAGCAGGCAAAAAGTTTTTCAGGGAAACCATAAAATGCAATTACTATTGTTCTTACCATTTATAACTCCTAGAGCCCAACTGACCTGGGAGAGTACCTAATGGAAAACAGTACCCATAACAATAAATTAACATCTATGGGATGCAGACATTGCATTCCCAAATTGCTTTTAAGTATGAGAAGTCCTGTCACGAACCCATTTTAGGACTCAAGACAAGAAGGATAAACAACAAGGAGAACAATCTCAAGCCTCCATACACTGACCAATTTCAGTCTCAGGTGAACATGAAAGCAATAGCCATATATTCTAATTAATGATAGTTCAGATATTTCAGAGTGAAACACGTTTAGACAAAAGCACAAGAAGCCACAGTTTAAAGACTGAGCTTTTCAACAGAGAGAAATGTTTGCTTTTTCCAGATGTCTTAGTTTATATTTTCACACTTTTGCGAGTACTTTTGTAGCAGATAAATAACATCAACTGAAAAATCAATCCTACCTGTTTCCTCTTTTCAGGCGGAAGGGATGGATCCCCATCCTACAAATAAACAGATATATTTTATTGGTAACTTATTTCTGAAGCCAGCAACTGTATTAAATTTGTGGATCAAATTTTAAAACACATATTTTAACTAAAATGTTATCAAAATGGTTTCTAAAATACTGCACCTTGATTAATATCAGTAATATTACTTTCATCTCAAAAAATTGTCAAAGGCTGAAGATTTGTTTACATTTCTAGAACAGCAGGTCATTACAAATTTATGTTGCTTTTTTTTTTCTTAACAGTACATTAAGTTGCTGTGGAATAATAATACTGCAGTCAGTTTTTAAATGGAATTATGACTGAAACTAATTTCCTCAGAGCACACGCTGTCTTTCTGTGTCTTATATAACAGGCACTACCTCGTCAGTGCGGAACAAATGAGTAATAATATGATCAGGGCTGTACAACTGCAGGACTACTGTAAAAAGTACCTAAACATTTTTACAGCACTCATTATGGACTCCTTTTTTTTTTTGAGGTTGATCCTTGTCCCCCATTTATACAGTATTCATGAAGAACAACCTACAATCAGCTCCCGATACTTCTTCTTCAGAGACTGGTGTCGTTCCCGCAACTGGTTGGCCATAAGCTTGTACTGGTCTCTCTCTTGTTGACAGGTGTCCAGCTCTTTGGAAAGGATTAGCAATGCCTCCTTTTTACTTTCAAGCTTCCTTTTACACACCAGATACTGCAGAAGAGAAAAAAAATGTAATTGTAACAAGCCATTTCTACCCCAGCCCGTACTGGATTCAAGATGCTCAAGTTTTTCTCTGAAAAGATGGAGGAAGACTCTCTGCACAAGATCAAAGTCTGCCACAAGTCAGCTTATTAATAACAATCATGGGAAAGAAATCTGTTGTATGAGAAATCTGAAATGCATTTGTAAGGCCACATGCTCACTTGACCCCTGCAAATTAGAAAATTCAGCAAGTCAAGTTTCTCCTCTTTCTCCTCACATGCAGTAGTATGAGGACCCTCACAATTTGACCTGCAGCCCTGGGAAGGCTGCTGGAAGGAACATGCCTTTGCAAACTCCCTTTTCTACTGGTGTCCAAAATACCCAGCTCTCAGTTAGCAACCCGCGTTTCCCACCTCATTCCCCCTTCCCTCCTCCCGGCTGGGCCTCGGGCCCTCCTCCTCTCTCCTTCCTCCTCCTCTGGGTTCAGCCTCCCACCTGGACACGGAAAGAGGGCCACATTACAGCAGAAAGGGCAGTGTGAGTGGCAAACAAAATTTACCTTGAGTCTGAAACAATTAGAGCAATACCCTGTCAGCACAGGTAAAAGAAACTAACTGAGCTGCAATATTATATGCACTTGCTTGTTGAGTCAAAAGAACGGGAAATAATGCACATCTATTGCAAGCACCTGAATGGGGAGGGAAGGCAGAGCTGAGCCTTCCCCTCCAGCCACCACCTCTTACGTGTAGGGCTCATGCACAAAGCACAGCAGAACTTGCAAATTTTAGCTGTTCTGCATTAGTCTGATCTGCTTCATTGCTTTCCCTTCTGAGAGGGAGAGAGAGTAACGTGTATGTCATACTTTCCTGCAGTGGCTAAATGTTACCTATCAGAAGTTTCAGGCAACTTTTTTCACTTAATGTGATGTTCAATCAGCAGATTCTTCTCACCCATCACTTGACACTGCTCATGCTAAAGCATATATTTCTATTTCTGATGTTACTCACATAAGACATGGCACTAAATACTTTCTGAATGTGCTCTGCAAGAGATCAAATATCACAGCAGTCATGAAAACAATTTATAGTTTCATTATATACTCTGACAAGAATACTTTGTCACTACGGGCTCTTGTACAAAGCAAGAGCATCAGCACTTCCATACTGTTCAAGTCAGTTCTGTTCTTTGGGACAAAAATCATTACTCGTTTGTACTACTTGCTTGGAATTGACTTTGTTAACCTCAATTCCAAGTCAATGAGAAAGGGACAAGCAAGTTTGGTATATTAGTACAGCCAACATTTTCCAAAAATGGCAAATGTTTAGTTACAGAAAAGTGGGAAGGGAATGAAGAAAGCAATTCCAAGAAGGATTTGAACTCACAAAAAGGACACTTCCACCTTGGATTAATTTTATTTCTGGCAACACTGAAGTTGAAATCCTGCCATAAATTTTCTGGATTATGATGCCTTGGCATCAACTTTATAAAGGCAACTGCACCTATGTACTTATGTCCTTACTGATACCCTACACAAATGTCAAGTCCCCTGATAAAGCACTGAAAGGTATCAGAAGCTAAACTTTAATATTGTCGGCAAGTGATTATAGTGACACAGTAAACCTGCTTCAAACTTGATAAAATAATTCCTTCCCTTACAGTGAAATGTTTGCCTCTGACAATCTTTTTTCCAGTTTCATCTCATGTCTTAGTCAATTCTAAAATATGCCTTCACTAAATTGTTTTCAAATCCTAAGAATCTGATACAGTAATTGCAAATAAAAACAAGTAAAAGCAAACCTCATAATCACTTTAAAAAACCCAACAGCCCAAACCCCTGAACCAAGTAGCCTGTCCTGTTCATTTAACCACCAGGAAGAATGAAGCTGGCCCATCCATCCAGTGCCTACATGGAGCAGAACAGCCTATAGAACGTACAGAGTGGGAAGGGAGCAAAGCTAAACATCTCACCCTAGGACACCCACACCACCAGCAGGTGCCTCCAAGCCTTGCCACAAGTGCTAGTGTATGAAACAGAGTATGAGAGAGTTGGAAGCTGATTGGAGCATGTGGACTACCAAAAGACTATAAAAAATAGTATTTATCAGGCAGGAAATGCAGACCTGGTGCCAAACAAATCTTGCTTCTCCCATGAGTCACAGCTCTCCACAAAGGACACCCTCAGAGCATAAAAGAAGGCTTCACCTTTCCCGGCAGCACTGGCAGGGACAAGGGAATTCTCCGTTATCTATTAGGCTGAGGATAACGAACCATAAACAGATTGTGGGGACAGTTGTGTTTAGGGTCTAAATGAAAAGGAATAATGATCTCCTCCTTGATGAATTATATACTGATGATGTGCCATAAAGAAGGAAGCAGCTTGGCATCTCTCATCAATGTACTGTATGGATTTTACTACAAAAATGACCACCCAAAGACTTTTTGAAGCCTTTTTTGCGTTTTGCATATATTGAGTTTCCCAAATAAATGGCATAAAAAATAGTAATAATGTATAGTAATTTGTTTCCACGGGCTTATGGTACAAGAAACTAATAAAGCCACAACATTTCTGTGGAATTTGATTATTCAACAGAGCTATGTTTCCAATTCCCATTAGCATTTTTGAAGGAAAAACAAATTATACAAAGACAAATCTCACAGAGGTTATTCAATATATGTGCTTCTGAATGTTAAAAAAGAAAAAAAGTACTAATAATGGCCATAAACTGACCTACCAACTGTATACCAGAAATGGATTCTGCTCAGGGAAACAACTGAGTCCCACCAACAATTTCCCATACATGGACAAATGAACGCAGCAGAACTGGTATGCTGTCAAAAGGAACATGGGAGTTTAACAGTCTTTTTGGAGCAATGCAAGCAATAAAAAAAATTTTCTGATATAGTCTGAGAAAAAGCATTCAATAGATGCTTCTGGCACTCATATAGAGATTCCTTCCTCTGCAACTGAAGGAAAGCCTACATCTCGCATACTGTCTATCAGTGAGACAAATAAGTGAATTCTGTTATGTACTGTAGTTACTACAAAATATTCTTATTGTCTTTTGTTTCTTTTTAATTGATGTTCCAAAATAATCTTTGAGTTTAAAAAACAAAGTTAACCATGAATCAGCTGCTATACTTTCAATCTAAAAGCTGCAACGTACAACTTTTCATATCTGTCTAGTGACTTTTATCTACCAATTTGCTGTTATCTGCAATAAAGCAAATTATAATTGCTACAAGGAAGACCATAATAATTAAAGGAATATATATGACATCTTACATTACTGCCTGAACTTCTTTACAGCCAGATAACTACTTAAATGGAGTAAAAAGAGACTGACATTACAGGAGAGTGTAACTGTTCCAAGGTGACCTTCTACATCGAACACTTACTATATACCCATTGCTATTTTTAGTGACAAATCTGGATAGATCTCATTAACGACGCCGTAGACATGGTCTAATAATCTGATGAAGCTGGGACACCGTCAAGGTTTTAGACTTTCTTTTTTTAAACCAACAAACACACTGAATTCCTCTCACAAAATAATTTCTTTTAAATTTGTACAAATTACTGGCCTATACATGGGTATTTAATGACAATTAGTGCCAAGAAGGAAAATATCTAATTTTCTGAGGGGAAAAGTAGAGATACTATCTCCAAACTGTGCTTTGGAATCACTGTGGATCATAGTCTGTGTTCTCTCAACACTCTGGGCCTTAGTGCCCTCCCAAATGCCGATGGGCCACCACATTGTATGTGGGCCTGGAAACCTATCGTCCACCATGCTCTCAGAGAAACCAGGAACTCTACTCACCATCTTTTGGACAAGAGATCCAACTGCTATGGAACTGCCTGAAGTGTTATCAAATTTCTCCTCACTGTACTCTTGGAGGCAATTTTGTTGTGGAAACGACAAACTGAAGAGTCCCAAATGCACTGCAAGGTCACTATTTGGGGTGTTTGTTGACTATGTTTCAGTAATGTTCCTCCCCTTGACTTCAACTGTTCAACTTGTCTGCAAGAGTCAAGCACTCAAACCCAGAAAAATATACAATTACTGGCTGTTTGCCTGCCATCTCATCTCACGTCCTCATCTCTGATAAAACCTGAGACAATGCAGTGTCCTTGGTTTTATCCCACAATTATCAACTCTGCTTTTACTGCTGCTCAGCGCTTGTTTCACTAGCTACCACCTGACTGCTGAAACACAAAGCAGGCTGGTGTCATCCACCGATGATACAAGCGATATAAGCAGCTCTCCAGAACACCACACCTTGACTTGATGACAGCATTACACCACATCATCTTCACTGGTCATTTAGGAATTACCATAATCTGATTTGATTAGTCAAAAGAACACTATTTTGGGATGTGGCCCAGCCCTTAGAAGTTTTGTATACTGTGCATCAGATTAAATTATTAATTTCTCCGCGTTTGTTCCTCAACATCCCTGTGGGTATCTTAGTCCAACCTGGAACAGGGGAACATGAGAAGGAAAGACTTGTTTTGCTGCCTGAAAGCCCAGCACGCAGGTCTCCGTAGCGCCTCTCCCACAGCTTGCGAGAACTTTGGAGAGCACTAAGTTACAGTGCCAGGTCTTTTAGCGTTTCCCCTTCCCTTTCCAAATGACAAAGCCGTTACGATGCCAACCCAGTCACCTAGGGACTCCAGAGCATCCGCTCCACTTTGTTCTTCCCTACAACCACTGGCATTTGCCCATGTTTAGAAAAGCTCTAATACTAGTGTCTCCAAAGCCTGTCAGGTCCTCTCATATAGGTCTGGTGAATTACATTTCAAGCTCTGTTTGAAAAGGCAACAGGACAGAAAGTTAGACAGATATTATAAACATGAAAATCTCACTAATTTTCCTTCCTCATCTCTCTTGTCCACGTTAAAAAAAAAAAAAGCACAACCAATGTGAAACGTATGCTCTGCTAATTACAAGCAGGTTAGGTTTCTCACTCATATTCAGAATGCATGTCTGGAACGTTTAGGTATTTCAACTAGAACCACTGCTCAATAGTTGTGCATTTGATAAATAATTCCCCAAAAGTCTCTCTCCAAGTTTTAAGTTGGCAATTACTAGGCAAGGGAGCTCAAGAGCACAAGCATACCACTTCCCTCTGTGGTGCCAAAGACCATACATAGTTAATAATCAAGAAATAGCCTCTTGAGAATGACAAATTAAATGGAGACTAGATTTCTTCAAACTAATTTTAGGAGGCACAGTCACATATGAGTAGCTGTAAATAGCATACAGTAAATGCTCTAATATGTGGGAGGTGACAAGGAAAAGAGAAGCATTTTGACATTGGATTTAATTCTAGAAGTTGGCAAATCCGAGGGAGAAGCTAGCAGAAAGGATGGAGGACAGCCACTTTAGTCTTATGGGTTTCCTAGGAAACCTTTCTTGCTTCCAGTGGAAAACACCGTCAAAAGTACACGTTCTCCAAGCAGTATTAAATTAGGACTAGTGCCAACTCTCAATGAAGTGAAAGGAAGCACACTCACTGACTTCAGCAGAAATGAGACCGAACTCGTAGAAGTCAGCTCTCTAAAGCAAGGACAGAGGTGGTCTTGCAGATTATGTAGAAGTGCTGTTTCCCTACCACACATGACCTCCCTGTACTGTTCAACTCATCCATCCACCCCAAGATCATGCTACCACCTACTCCTTTCTCCATCGCTGATTCTGTCATCAGCCTTAGATCAAATGATTCTAAGACAGATTACATGGATTTCAGGCAAAAA